GTATGTGAGAGGTGTTGATAACTTTCCTTTGCATAATCGACTCGTGACCCAGAATTTGGTTGCAACGGCCATTTTTTTTTCTTTTAAGGTTTTATCGATATTCCTTTTATCCTTTTGGAATAAATAAATTTTGGCGGTGACTATGTTATCATCTCGAGCGCGCAAGTGTTACAGGTCATTTTTCGCACCGTGACAGTTGGGGACACACTTCAGCTAGAGATTCAAGCCTAGTTTAGTTTGATTTGCGATGAATGTTTACTTTGTTTGTTTGCTTTCATATATATTATTGTCTTATTGATATTTCTTATCAGCTATTGGTTCTCGTGATAATGTGATGTAAGTTCTAGTTGCTTATACACTTCGTGAGATATGCTTTGTACCCGAGCTTTTAGGAAAACCTTAGAATTGGAGATTGTCTAATATTATACTGGAAGGTTTACACCTCACTAGAACAATACGAAGACTCCGCCTAGAGTTGATCTATTCGGAATTCTTGTCATGGTGTGGCTAGCCCATTATTGTGTTGAAATTTTGAATAAGGTCCATGACTCTAGGAACCTCATAAACCAAAAACTTGTTATTATAGTCGAAGATTATGTAGTATTGGACTGAGGGGTCTACACCTTGTTAGAACAATACAAAGACTCCACCTAAAGTAGATCTAATTGAATTTTCATCATCATGTGGCTAGGCCATTATTGTGTTGAGATTTTAAATAAGTTTTGTGATTCTAGGAACCTTGTCTAAAGCCAAAACCTGTTTTCAAGATGGGAAATTGTGTATATTTCCCTGAAGGGTATACACCTCACTAAGGCAATACGAAGACCCCACATAGAGTAGATCTATTAAGAATTTTCATCACGGTGTGGCTAGCCCATTATCATGGTGAAATTATGAATATGATTTGTGACTCTAGATTCTTTCCTTGAAAACACAACCTTAGAGATATCTTTGTATGATTGGGTGTAAAGAACATAAATCCTTCATAAGATACCTACCTCTTGACTTGTGTGAAATGTTTAACCTCTACCGTTGCATAACATCATATTGCATATTTCATCAGCATAACAAAAATAATTTACATTCTTTTTATTTTCAGGGAATCCCAAGAGATTTAAAATTGTTATTAAGTGTTCAAAAGAAAGATGGAATCTGGAAAGAAGAAAACCTTCCAAATCAAATCTAGAGTACAAAATGTGAAAAACTTCATAGCTTTTAGAGATGGGTTGACTAATATTCGTCAAGAGACATTCACCCTCAAGTATGGAAAGATTTTAAATCTCACAAAAATTAAATGCAAGAGTTAGTGAGTGTGTAAGAGAGAGAGAGAGAGAGAGAGAGAGAGAGAGAGAGAGAGAGAGAGAGAGAGAGAGAGAGAGGGAGGGAGAGTACGCCAGGATATATAGTGGTTTAACTTTATCGTCCTCGCATGAGCATACTCCACTCTTCAATGGTTTCCAAATGGAATCTATTTTCTTCCTTTCTGTTTTGGAAAAATTATTTGAGTTTATATAATCACCAATCCATAATAATTCCGAGAAAAATAAATATCATATATGTATATTGAATTGTATACTACTTTATGCAAAACTCTTATGCGAAATATTTACTCAATGCTCGTTTCTTGAATCTTCCAGTTTCACCAATCTGCTCATAGTCTTTGTCTATGACAATCACCTATGATCCCACCAGTTTCTTGAGCAATGAAATGTTCGAAAATTTAGAATAACTCCACATTGTGTGTAGCCTTCCACACAATCGCTACCAAGGTCAACTACAGAGAAGAACCTCCTTATTTTCACTTAAATTTGTCAGTACTAGTCACAACAACCACAATCTTGCAAGGTTCCAAAAAATATTAACAAACTCTTCAAGAATGGTTGGTTTCAAGACATATATCCCTCAACAATTATAGATCTTCATAATCTAGATCTGAATTTAAACAAAAGGTTGAAGATGAAAGAAATTTTATTTGAAAGAGATTTTGACTTTTCAAAAGGGAGGTTGTAGATTCTCACAAAATCACACTGAAAAATGCTATCAATTATGTGAGATATATTTGGAATGAGATGAAAAAATTCATACGTGCTTGAGATTAAGCACAGAAAATGGATGGAAAAAGATAGTTAGATTCGAGTCAAGAACATTTCATGATTTGAGTTAAATGAGCAAGTAGAGTGAAACGAGATCTCTTTAAGAAAAATGACCTATTTTCCCGTTATTTAAGTCACCTTATAAGCCTTATTCAAGTTATAAAGGATCATGATTCAAGTCAAGCGTAAAGCTTGATTCGAGTCGAATTGGACACAGCCAACCAAGAAAATGTGAAAAACTGTGTGATTCGAGTCATGTAGAAAGTGTGATTCGAATCAAATTGGGCAGTGGCTAACAGAAGGTTTGTGATTCGAATCAAATGCAACTTATGATTTGAGTCACAGTGTTACAAGATTTGAATCAGGTGTAAATTGTGATTCGAGTCACAGACACAGAAAAATTTTGTGCTCTCCTCTGTTTGATTTGATTCGATTCAGAGATTGTGAATGACTCAAATCACACACAATAAATCTCATTTTTTCAAGTTTTTCAAAATGGTTTGAGATTTCAATTCCCACATAACTTGAATCAATATCACATATGGTTCTTATTTCATTAAAATAATCAATTGACTTAAAATATCATGATCAAACTCAAATACAACCAATTGAATTATGCATGCTAAAAAATGAATTGATTCAAAACTCAATTCAAAGATGTGCAATTGATGAGGAGAATCATTAAATAAAAGTAAATGAAACAAAAGCTTAAAAGACAAGCAATAAAATCGTATCAGGTTTCTCCCCATGAATATACTAGGGGCATGCATCTTATGGCCTAAGTGTCGATCTCCCCTCGTGCGGATCAATAAAGAAATCATAGGTGCCTCTTTCTTCACAGATACTTCAACCCGGAAAAACACATCAAACATGACATTCCTAACAAGGTCGTGTTAGTATTTGATGTCTGGATGCTCCCTACAATGAATCGTGTGTTCCCCAAATATATCCAAACAAGCCTTAGGACAATCAGGGCAAACCTCATTAGTAGGAAATAAAGGAATCATAAGGCGATATCTTAAGATAGTATGGTACTCCACCGATGGCATATATTAACCTAAACTATCAATAGGAATAACAAGAAGAAAGTCACGAGCATGTGCGGCTTGCAAACAACCAAAAAGTGCTTTTTGTCGCGTGGTCATGTTAACCTTTACATTCATGTCCTAGTTCTACTAAAAAGTGTAATCACCAAAGCATGTTGTACTTTAGGAGGGATGACGTCCTTGCTAGTAAAATTGTTATGGTTAAAATCTAGAATCGCAACCCTAAGTCCATCCAACGCTCTGTCGAAATCTGAGTACATATGCCATATACCACACTATTTCTCAATATATGATCTTGTAACACTCAAGATTGATCCTTAGAAACTACAAAAACATACGAGGCAGCCTCTACTGTCGAGTACAAACTCAATCCCCCAATTCTAATGAGAAAAAACACATTCAATTGAAGATCCCTAAAGAAATGACCCCCACCAACCACGATGTCTTCAACCACCTTTCGCAACTCTTTATCAAGCCAAATAAATGTTTCCTCCATAAAATTAGGTTGACAACCAAAAAATAATTTGGCAATACACATGCACGTTTGAAGTAGAAGAAACACACCCTAAAAATCCCTTAATTATGGTAGATGATGTTTTAGTTCAATAACCTTGCTTTACTTTTTTTCTTAAAGTGTTTCTCATACCCTTGATTATATATACATTTTTTTGTAATAAGCAATTAAATCATCTTACTTTATTTTAAGATGAGAATTTCAGACCAAAAAAAATAGTACTTTATTTGATAGATATCGAATCAAGACTTGATATTTCAGCTGCATTCCCTATTCAGCTCCCACTAATGAGACCTAACTCCGTTATAACAGTTACAAATAAAAGTCATAAGTCTCAAATCCAAACAAACGTCGTTAGTACATAAAAACAGCATTGGGTGCGCTTGACCACTGACAAGACAAAGAAGAAGAACAAGACTTACACAAACCCGAAAATGACGACTTTTAAATAATTTCATCATTTTTCTCTCAAACAAGCTTTCTTCTTCTTTTGATTTTCAATTCAACAGGTAAAGGTTCTGTTCCGTTGATTCTCTTTGCTTCATCTCATCCTTGTTATTATTATCATTATTATTTTTTCTTTCTATTTTTAGATTTTATCTTTAATGAATGAACTGGTCTTTATTATACTTCAAAACCCTAACTTTTTTTGTTTTTCAATCATTTAATGTCAATAGTATTGATTCCTTTTGTGTATTGGTGAATGATTTTGCAGCCCTTTTGTGTTTTTTTTACTAAAGTTTGATTTTTGTATGGTTTTATGAATTATTAACAAAAAAAATTAGTTTTTTTTTACTGTGTATTTTGTGGATTGTAATGGAACAGAAAATCATAAAAGGGCAGTTTTTTGTATTGGGTCTAGAGCATATTTGTGTTCTGTGTGTTCAAGTTGATATTACTTGAAAATGTGACAAAAAGGGAAGATATTCGACAACTTCCAAGCCGGTAATCCCCGGCTCTTGAACCGGGGAGGACTACAATGGACGGTCGCAAAGCTCTCCTTCAAGAGAATTGGGTTCGAACCCTGGTTAAGAGAAAAGAGTTCCCTAGCCCTTACCTTTTCATCCAAGTGCCCTTGGGTTTATGATGCTTGATTCTTGATAATGTTTACGAATTAATTTGGTTGTATATAAATGAAACAATAGAGTGTGTTTCTTTCATTGCTCGCCGAAGGGTTTTTATGCATGCCATCTATGAATTTAATCAACTTTTCTTTTTGTTTATTCTTCAGCAGGAGGTAAGATTAAGTTTTCTCATTACATAATTGAGGGGGTTTTTTTGTTACTGTGTTTTTCTTGTTTTGCAATTTGATGTGTTTTAACGAGTCTTTGTGTGTCCGCAGTTATCATGGGATCAGTTTGTTGTGTTGCTGCAAAGGATCAAACTATTTCCACTAGAACTGGAGGTGAGAGTTTTCACAGAAATCCTACATGTTCACCATCGTTGAGTTTTCAATGGGATAGATGGAGCCGTGTTGCTGGTGAAATTGATGATCTTTCATTTCTAACGTCTCGGAGAGTCAGTAGAAGTGTCAGCATGGAGTTAAAGGGGTCTTTAAGTTCTGAAAGAGGCAATTTATCTGATGTGGGGAGCACTCTGGAGAACTCTGTAACACCCATGTCTCAAAAGTCTCCTATTCATGAGCAATTGGGTGCGAGTCAGATGACTCTATCTTCAGGTAAATGTTAACTCCGTTATTCTTTTGTTTAGTGTGCTGAAACGTTAGCTTATGATTTGTTCCCAATCTTGCTCATCACTTGAATGATATATTATATATGCTAAGGACACTCTCTGTTAAGTTGAGTCTCACATCAGACAATATATGGCTTGAACATGTTTTTATAACTAGGGGCAATCCTCGCCTATAAGGTTGAGTTAGGCCATACCACAATTCTTAAGAGTCCCTTCTATCACCATGTTTCCTTGGTTACTTATTTTTCCTCGTTCCGACATTTATTTATCTTTCTTCTTCCTCTTTTTTTCTTGTTGCAGATCTATCCATGTCAAGTAATTGTTCTACAGCGGTGAGATTTAATTCTTTTGAATGGCTGAAATTGATTACAAAAGTGGCACGATGAGTGAACCGAATTACAAGTCTTTTACAATGTAGCTTTAACCTAACTCTTATTTATATTTATCTTTAGGTGAAGAAACTGACAGAATCACCAGAGATTGCAGAATCTTCAGTACCAAATCTTTCTTTTTCAATACCTTCTTATTTCTCAACACCTATAACTTGTAATCTAAATCATCACAATCTTCCTAGCTCAACACCATCTAGATGGGCTCATCGATCTCCAGGACACCCGCTGCTGAGACAGATTTCTGATAGTAGAATCCTGGGTCTGAAATCGCCCGACAATTCAATTTCTGAGGGAAGGCCATCGTTTGTACTGTCCACTTGCAGCAATGACATGATAACTGGATCCCAATGCGGTTCATCTGATGGCTGGTCTATGCGCACCTTTTCTGAACTGGTGGCATCATCTCAAAAGGAAAGGTGGTCATTCGACAGCGAGCATTTAGGTTCAGGTCGCCACAAGATAAGTGGAACTAGTAGTAGGTTCTCGTATTCTCCCTCCATGGATTTACAATCTTGCGGGGCCTGCTCGAAGCTCTTGACCGAGAGAACTGCATGGAGCAGCCAGAAATTTATTTCCAACAATGACCTGTCAGTTGTTGCTGTACTTGTCTGTGGTCACGCGTATCATGCGGAATGCTTGGAGACCATGACATCAGAAGCAGATAGTTACGATCCCACATGTCCAATTTGCATGGTTGGAGAAAAGCACGTGTCGATGTTATCCAGAAAAAGTCTCAAGGCTGAATCAGAAATGAAGGGCAAGAGCTACAAGATATCCAGAAACCGTGTTGTTGATAGCTACTTTGATAGCGGATTAGATGTTTATAATCGGCAAAAAGATGTAGTTTCGAAATTGGAGCCTAGTTCAAGTTCAAGGAGTTCATTAAGAAAACCCTTCTTGAGGCGACATTTCTCATTGGGATCGAAGTGGAATCGATCCCAGTCTGAGAATGATTCTGCCAGGAAGAAGGGTTTTTGGGCAAGATATCGCAAAGATTGAGCTTCCTTATAACCATAGCGGTTAGTTGCTGCAGGTCTCTAATTATATTTGTAGCACCAGCAAGTTAGGATTTACTATTTGTATGTTGACCAGCTTTACTAATAATTATAGATTTATTTTCATTAAATTTTTGCTTCAAACTCTAAGGAGATTCTGAATGTGAAAAACTGATGATACTGTGATGATTATGTTATGTATCCTTGTTCTTGACCAGAAAAGATGTAGTGGAGAAAACCATGAATTTAACAATATGATAGTCTTTCTCATACAATTATCTTTTCATAGTTTAACAAATATTCAAGGTCACTTAGTATATTTTAATTAATAATTAAGATGATAATCTTTTAAATATATGCGTTTGTGAATTATTGTAAGAATATGATAGTCTTTCTCATATCTTTTCTCTTATTGTAAACATGCCAAAAGACATCACGATCACAAGAACCTAAACTTGAAAGATAGCTGGATGATTCAGTAGTGCTGAGTCGACTTAAATTGATACCATCTAAACTTTTTTGTAATATTAAACTTTAAAAAAAAAACACTAAAATTTGAATTTACATAAAATAGTTTTAAAAAAAATTATTTTAAAATTTTTTTTCTTTTAATTGTGATTTCAATTAAGTTTTGATTTTCAATAATATATATTTATATCATAAGATACCAAAATTAGTATTTCAATTTTTAAAAAAAATTGTAATGTTTTAAAAAACATTTTATATAAATCATTTTCAAAAATATATTAAAAAAAAAACACTATTCTTTTAAAGGTAAAACAAATATACCCTTAATCCGTTTAAATCGTTAAAATGGATTTAGTTCAGAAATCTAAATTTTAGTCTCCTAAGTATAATTTTACAGATTTTAGTTCATTTTAAGAAGAAAAAAAACAAGAGTTGACTACAACACAAGCATCAGAACAAAAACGATAACAGAAGGATTTATATGCCAAGACGCTAGTATAGATATGAATCGCACTTGTAAAATAAAGACATGAAACACAGTAATACAATTCAGTTCGATCAACTAATTCAATTAAACACCCCATAACCGTTTGACAAGTTCTAATTTTAAAATTAGAATCGTGATAGTACATTTCATTGTCTGGACGGCTGCTATAATGCTTAACTCGATGATTTGACAAACTTGGGCGAGGTATTTCCTGTTCAAAACATGCACTGCCATAAATATCCATGGCTCTGAGAATTTCACAAATAGATTTTATTCTTTTCCAAAATCAGCATTGTAGTGTGCACTAGATTCAAGTTTCTTTGCCTCATTCAATTTCCTTACGGCCTGGAAGCAATGTAAAGAGATACAGTAAGGCAGAGTCTACATAGAGAAATTCATACAAAGGAAAAATTGCTTCCTGAACAAAGAGCTTACCTTCATGAAATCTTCGTGGATAACATAGTCCCGCTCCGCTCGAATTGCTGACATTCCAGCTTCAGTGCACACATTTCGGAGATCAGCTCCATTAAAACCCTGGCAATTTTGTAACAGATAATACATTATACATTTAGCAAATGTAAGTTAATCTAACCCAAGCCACCCGGACTTACCTCTGCAAGCTTCACAACCGCTTCATAGTCTATTTCACCATGCTTAGCAATTCCAGCAGCATGAATCTTAAGAATTTCCATTCTTGATTGTTCATTTGGCAATGGAATTTCTATTTTTCTATCCAATCTTCCAGGACGTAGGAGAGCAGGGTCAAGTACATCAGGTCGGTTTGTGGCCATGATCATTTTAACCTGCAATATAAATTCAGAGGGCAAAGTCATTATCAGTTGATCATCAATAATTTAGAACAGTCATTTGAACAAAAACATCAATAATGAGAAAAGGCTGATTCTTATGTATTTGTGTTATTGTGTCATTTGAAATATATAATATAATGAAGGGGGGAAAACTCTGCTAAATATCCTATGTCTTTAAAAATGTTATTTTGACTAAGTGATTAAGCTCAAGTGGTTAATAAACTCCATTTAAAAAATGAAATCTTCGAGAGAACCCGAGAGTTTGAATTCTGAGAACAATACTTGGCTCGACTTTACTTACTTGCCGCCTGAACTCTGAATTACTAAGGCCCCCTTCCCTTAGGAATTGGTTGGTTAACACCAAAAAAAAATGTTGATTATGAACTTTACAAAAAGAAAATGTCATGAAATAGCAACTCAATTGTTTGATAAACGATGAGCACAAAAGTCGCTCATCTAAGTTGTCTGACGCCAGTCATACAAGTGTTATACAGTGTCGGACACCGATCCAAGGAGTTTCGAAGCAAAAGAAAAAATTATTTAGGACATTTGTCTAAGTAAATCTGACACGTGTCAGTAAGAATGCCGGACACCGCGACACACTTAATTTAAGAGATGCATGTGTTTCATAGGGTTTTTTATGTTAACCCTTCAGTCTCCAAAGGAAGAGGGCTCTTGTAATTCGAAGTTCATCAGAGAGGTAAGTAAAAGCTGGTTAAGAACTGTTCAATACAGGATTCGAACTCAGGTTCTCCCGATCTATTCATTCTTAAGTGAAACTCATTAATCACTTTATCCCAATCACATGATGATTATTTTAAAATCAAGTCAAAGAGAGTAGATAAATAAGATATACCTTTCCAAGTTGATCAAACCCATCAAGTTGATTAAGCAGTTCCATTAATGTTCTTTGAATCTCACGATCTGCACTTGTTCCCTCACTGAAACGACGACCACCAATGGCATCGATCTCATCCATAAAAATGATGCAGGGCTAAGAAAACAGAGGAGATTTAGAACTTCTTTCAAGTGGATAAACCAATAGGAAAATAACTAAACACAAGAATATCACCTGGTGATCACGTGCATACCCAAACATCTCTCTTATTAACCTGGCACTTTCTCCAATGTACTTATCAATTATAGCACTTGAAACAACCTATATTAGAGACAAGGGCAGGTAAATACATTTACAGTCATTTCAAAACACAGTTGATAAAAGATCCATAATCCAACCTTTAGGAAGTTAGCATCTATATTGCTGGCAATAGCTCTTGCCAACAATGTTTTACCCGTACCAGGAGGCCCATAAAGGAGAACACCCTGAAAGATGAGGATATGAAGAAGTATCAAATATAATAGTTAAAAGTATGGCTAAATAAGAGTTTGTTTGGTTGGAAGAACGGTTTCTATTTTTGTTTTTACTTAATAAAATGGCGTATTATTTTTAATGTCTCTTTGTTTGAATGATTTTACGGAAAATTATTAAAACAATAAAGTCATATACGTATGTATGAAATCAAAAATAAAAAGAAGGAAAAAAATGTGGAGTTTTTGTAAATAAAAGTAAAAACATAAAATGTTTCTGCAAAGTGCAGAACAATCCATAAAAAGTAGAGATTTAGATGACGACAATACTAAAGACACACACTCACGTTGATACAGGCCAGATACTGCAAGTTGCAGTGAAAAGTTTATTACCTTGGGAGGTTTAATTCCAACTCGAAGAAAGAGCTCAGGATTCATTAGAGGCAATTCAATTGATTCCCTCAATTCCCTGATCTGATCAGATAAACCACCAACAGCAGAGTAACTAATATTACCGGGATCTTCATGCAGCATATTGTACACAACTGGATCAACCTAGCAACACAATTGAGGAAGTTAGTGACAAGCAATCATGGAAAAGTACTTGGAGTTTTTTAGAAAAAGAAAAACATAGAGGGCTGAAAAGAACACAAACGCATTTCATCAAATAACAACATAAAGAGAATAAACTCTGATAACCTACTTCGCGAGGAAGAGCACGCATTATGGTGAGTGTTGTCATATCAAGAACCACTCTAGTCCCTGAAGTGAGCTTTTCCTTATCCACTTTACTGCGGCAGCCAACCACATATCTTGGACCACTACTTGCTTTAACAATCACTAAAATAACAAAAACATTAAGATTTTAGAATCATTGATTCATTCTTACCATCAAATCAAGAAACAGGATGCTGTTTTTTGGGTAGGTAGGTCACACATACGAGTTATAACAAAACTAAAAATCAAGAATCAATGAGATACACATGTTTAGTATTTCATAAGAAACAAAAAGAAAAGATCGAGGATAAAATATCTTCATGCAAACAATCCAGGTTTTTAACATAACAACTTGCTGGTAACACAAATGATCAAAAGGGATAACCTAAATATAAATGTAGAGATGATAAGAATGAAGTTGCAGAATTTGATAGCATGAGATCAGTGTTATCAAATATCCGCCATGGCGGTACTATGGCGGATATGCATAGCAGTTTTTGGGATCGCCACAATTGTAAATACTAGTCGACATTGCGGGTTATTCTGCTACAATGGTGCCGCAAAGCAACTGATAAGGCAGGATTTTCGCTCTCCGCCATGGACCGCTATCAGCCATTGACAACCCTGCTTGAGATATTAATTAAACAATAATATGAAAAAAGGAAAGAGCAATTACAGCGTTCATTATCAAGAGGTCTGAGAACTTCGCCAATTATCTGGCCAACACTTTGAAGAGACTTCAAATCATCTTCTGTTTTGTTGAACTCTTTCTTTGAAGCTCGCAAGTTCTCCCTCACTGCATTTTGAATTTCAAAACCAAAGTTACTATTCTAATCCACAAGTATTCAAGTCCACAATTAGAAAAAGAAAGAAAAGATATCAGACCATTAATAAAGAATTAACACAAGGAAACTTATTACTATTGTAAAATCATAATCATAAGCTAAAGGAGCAGACTAAATAATTTCCATTCTTGAAGAACAGGACTTGCTAAAAATAGATTGTGGCAAGCCTAGCTTAGATGATATTCTGCCCCCATTGTCTCTGATTAAGAACTGTATTCAGATTCCATTGTTGAACAGGGAATTAATTTACTTAACCAAAACAATCTCAATGAGATTTCAAACTAATTATAACAATAGATCCAGTTGATAATCTTAACCTAATTTCGAAAAAAAGATGTACAATTATCCAAACGATGAATCTCCAAGGTTATACAAAAAAAACTAATTAAAGAAATTGATAGGGTTTTCCGATTCCAAGCAAATCAATAGCCAAAAAATCCAGAAGCACAAACACTAATACTACGAATTTGAAAAATAATTGAAAAGTGAAAACGATAAAGAATTTTAGATTCTATAATAAGCTAAGGAAAATCGATGAAGAAATAGAGACAAACCGGATCGAACTCTGGACTCCAATTCCTTGTGCTGGAGAAGTTTCTTCCGATACTCGGCGACCGCATTCCGGCGTCGCACGGCGTCTTCTGTGTCCGTCATGGTTGTGGCGCTGCGAAATTGGAAAGACGGAAGGGGTGAAGGTTAGGTCGCACAAACTCGAACGGTGGAGTAGAGAGAGTAATAGACTAGTTTGTGGACTACGAAAGCTTATTATGCTACGTCGCTATGTTACGTGACCCCAATATTTCATTACCCCGATTATTTAACCCACCATATAGCTAAAATATGTTTTAGCTGCAAATTTTCCATTTGACTTTTTTTAATAATCCAAAAATTAACAATGTAAATTTTGGTTAAAATGGTTTATTGACTAAAATTTATTAATAATTTATTTATGAATTTATTTTGTTACACAAACTATAATTTTAAAAGTTAATTTTATGTTGTGGCTTTGACAAAAAATTTATTGATTTCAATGGAGACGAATTGTGAATCAAAAGACAACGTTAGTAGATGTATTAAGTATATCGTAAAATCAATATTTTGAGTGTCTTTTATATGAGTGTGGATTATTTGAAATATAGTGTTTTCAAGTAAATTATCTTTAATACTTTAGATCAACACAACATATTTGTGATACTTCCTTAAGAGTCTCAATGAGACTTATATTGAGGAAAGAATTTGTGTAGCCAAGTTAATGATGGCCATACTTTTTTGCTAGAGAGAAATCTTTGTAAATGGTCCAAAGTTCTGTTTGGAGGATATATGAAGAGTTCGGGATAAATTCAGAGAAGTCACTTTATCATGTCTCAGATGGTGTGCGAAAGGTAACACCAAATCTCTTACGAATTAGTGCACCATTACAACTTCCATCTATATTAATAGTGGTGCAGATGTAGTTGAGGGAGTTCCATTTAATGAATCGGTTGTTTGGATACTCTCTTTGAGGTTTAGTGAAGCAAAAGTGAAAGTAGTATGTCATAAAGTGGGCGGTTAAAGGGTTTCATGACATATGCAGGAGTATGTCATAAAATGGACGGCTAAAGGGTTTCATGACATATGCATGTTGAGATACAGTTTCTTCAAGCCCACCAAACTCCTGCGACAAAGTGGTTATGAAAGGTACCATGACTCTTATTTTTTATCCAAGCATTTTCATCTCGAGTCAAGAAAAAAAATATGAATGATTAAACTCAAGATACAATCAATGTTTCTAGAATTCCTATAATCAATAACATGATGAAGGAATGAATCCTCTTTTATGGCACATTTGGAACACATATTTGTGATACTTCCTTAAGAGTCTCAATGAGACTTATATTGAGAATTCATTCCTTCAAAGAGGATTCATTCAACAAAAGGAGTCAAGGGACCAATAAAAATCCATTGGCTATACTACAAAGAAGAGGATCTTGATTTAGGTCTTTAGGTCTTCAGCTAATCTCATCTTTTTAACACATTCTTCGTTTTGACGATACAATTTCAAATGGGGAAACTTGTCGCTTAAAATGAGAGTAAATGAGCACCAGATAAATATTTTTGAGAGAGAAAACGAATTCACAATTTATCAATATTTTGAAGCATATCCTAAAAGTTTACCAAGAAGGGATGTGTTGGTGTTAGCATTTTTAATTGATCAAACCCTAAAAGCCACCTAATTTCATTGGTTGTGTGATCTTTTTTCGACAAACCAAATGAATACCTATAATGTTAATTCCCTTCCAAATAAAATTGAGTCAAGTAGTTTGCATGTAGTAACAAGGAATAGAGGTGAGAACCGATGTAACAAGAGCCAATATATTGACTTGCTAAGAAACTCGTTTTCTCAAGAAGTCATTCGAGTCTGCATTTTTTCATAAGAGTTGAAATCTGATCTATTAGCTCTACCTTTGAGAATATATATACTAAAAAAGATATTTATTAAGAAAAGTAGTAACTGAATGTCTGAGATTGAATTCAGTTGATTAATTTTTGTCTAAGAGATGCAAGAGTAGAAAGCAAGAAACTTAGCAAGGTTGATGTTTAGACTTGATGCACGACTAACTCTGTTCATGAGTGAGGCAATAGCTCTTATTTGAGACTTCTTAGCTTTTCCGAACTGGAGAACTATCATCCGGAGAAAAAAATGTCTGATAGATGAGGTCCATTGTTAGAGATGAACATAAGATTTCAAGAATCACTAGAAGCAACATCATTGATGGAAATAGAAAGTTTCTCCATGCAGATGATGAAAAATGTGAGATATCGGACCCCCGCCGAAGACCCCGAGAAAGCTTGAAGGCAGACAATCTTATTCCAATTCCATAAAATAAATAAAGACGAGGAGGTGATGTAGTGTATAATGAATGGTGATATGAGAAAATTGAGACTAAGTCAGCATATCACCTGCAGCTAAAATTAATAGAATAGATAATCCAATGGTACCGAAAACAATAAAGAAAAAAATATCATAAAATGGTCCTTCAAAATTGTTCAACACTATTAAATATTAGTTTATAGTAAAAAAAAATGGACCAACGTGTAAAACATATTTTCTTCTCAGAAAAGGGAGTGTGGATTTTCACTCGTATGAGAGTGTAACTTAAGTTTTTCTCAGGAAAGTAATATATCAGAATCCTATACAACGACCCATTACCCATACCATACAGAACAAAGGAAGTGGGATATACAATTCATTCATAACCGAACCATTCTCCCATTTTCTTTGGAATCAATTTACAATTTAATAGTAAAGTACCTAAGCTAGATTTAACTGTGCTTTGCCTTCTGTAAAACTTCTTTCAGAACCACTGCAATTCTCTGTGACATGTGGTGCTCCAGAAACCTCTCTTTCACTCTCTCGTATCCTTTCTTTCCCATCGTCAGCCTCTTCTCCACATGAGTTGCCAATTTCACAATGTTATGCGCCAAAGGTGTTACACCTACCTTGCTAGCAGGGTGGAGCAAACCGGTCGTCCCATTTACCACGATCTCCACAGTGCCTCCAGCTGCGGTGCCCTGCAAATATTTTTATGGAAACAAAAACAATACATGAAAAATAAAAGTAGACAGATATAAACATGTTTGCAAATAGATTCCCAAATTGCAGTAACCAAGTTGAAATGGCAAGAAACAAATAATCTACTATGTGTGCGCTGAAAATTTCAAATAAAAATATTTATCCTAGGCTCGTTTATAATTGAATATCAATTATCAGTAACATAAAACAACTAGCTGAAATAACAAGGACTCTAACTGAAATTACCAGGAAAAAATTGCAAGTCATAAGCTCAATTAATATTGCAACTAACAATAAATGGAAGTTGTATCATCTGGCCCCCAATAATAACAATATTCGTTTTTTTCATTCGTGTTATCATTGCATTGGTTGTATATTACTTACTATAACTTCCTCGGAATAAATATTTGTTTCTTGAAAAACAGATTTACAAAAACCAAAACATACTTCTCTCACCTGATTCGGTATCGCTATGATCATGAAAGCATATCTTTAAAACCACTAGGATAACATGACGGGGAAGGTGGAGGGTTGAGCAAATGGGGAGGAAAATTAGTGAATCGAGGTTGATGTATTCAACAAAAGAACAATACAAATCTGAATTTTAAGTTGCTGAACAGTTATTCTCATTTGTTAAAAAATTATCGTGAATAGAAATCTGAGTGCCTAAACCTCAGTTGGATCCACAGATTAGTAAAAATTTAGTTACATGGGACTGTAGCCAATGGGCATGCATAAGAAGGCAACAACATTTAGAAAGAAAAAATATTACTGCAATGTTATCATTCAGAAAGGCAATCCGGTGCTATGATACTAAAAAATGAAATAACTTCTTTGTTTCTATTTTTCTGACTTTTTTTGGACAGGGATGAGTTAGTGGTACCAATTATGAAACCAAAATAATAAAAAGAAGCACAGGATCATAGAAGAGATTAATGATGAATAAATAAAGCATGTTGCTATATACATCAATGGGATAATGAGTAAATTGACACAGATAGTATTAATTAATAACGTAAGGATATAAAAGGAAATGTCATATTGACAGGACAACTCAAATATGTAGTGAAGGAGATACCAGTACAGGCAGGCGAAATGCCATTGCTTCGATGGTTATCCTTCCAAAACATTCTCCCCGTGCCTGGTATGAAGAGAAGCCCATTGGTGAATGAAGCCCAAAAACCAAAATAATACTTAAAACACAATTTGCATCTATTTTCAGGTCCTTTCTAAACTAGTGAACTTTGTCTTCAAATATCATGGAAATCAAGCAAATCAATTTACATGGAAGAATCTTGATATGAGAAGAAAGGCCAACCAATCAGGATGGCAGAACTGTATCAGTACAGTCGTGGGTGTAATATGTGTGGGAAATTAGAAAAAATATTTAATCAAACAAACTAAAGTTTAAGGTTGTCATCATAGTGCCATGAGTTAGAAAGTCATCATGGCCTTTTCCATAAACATATTAGCAGTGTATATTATCAGAAGATACCTGAGAATTCTGAACAAGAACATCAATAGAAGCCAAGTAAGGAGCCACTGCCAGAGTTTTGTTAACAAAGTGAACACGGTCCTGAATCTTTTTCTCTGTAACAAATTTGCGCAGTTCCATTTCAAACTTTGTCTGAGCATTCATATCACTCCCTACTACTATAGCATGCAAAGCTGGCAACTGGAGTTTCTTCTCCTGAATGAGCTGCAAACTTTCATGAAAGGCACGAAGAAATAGATCTTGTCCTTTACCACGTGAAACACCTGCACTTAACAAAACCCTGGGGTTCAGAATAAAGACTGGCAAAAGAATTGTAAAAATGAACAGAAAAGGTATAAAGTACACTACACAGAGGGAGGATTAAATCGGCATGCACAACAAAAGAAAAGAGAAACAACAAGCCAAACAATGTTAATTTGGCAAAGGTAGTATAACCTTGCAAGCATGTCATGCACTGCGTTAGATGGAAATGTCATGAAACCAATGCAATGAATAAAAAATGAATATCAAATGGGTATAGGTAAGTGACATACTATTTATGATGGCAAAAAGTAGATCATCATTTCTTACTCCAAGAGACTCCCTAACATGCTCACGAAGAACCCTCTTTGCTACACTATCTTCTGCAACTTCCATAAGCTCCTTGCTATTTCCAAGATGTACAACATAAGTTTCAGGCATTTTAATTCTACAAAGTCAGGCAAAAGCTTACAGTTAGAAAACATGACTTAAATTACAGCCACACAGAATACATAGTAGTTAAAGTTTATTAAATGAAGCCGAAACATACCCTAAACGCTCCCTAGTCCTATTCTTCCAGTACTCTGCAGTTGTATGTGAATCAATCATGGCACCTGCAACAAAAGGGAGGTGCTTAACATATTCCACGTTGAAATAATGGCCTCGCATTTCATGAATCCACCATAAAACCTTAGGAAGAACGAGGGTAACTTTCTCCTTCAAGACGGCATCCAGCCACTTTCCAGCTACAGCAGTATTTAGAATGACCAGATCAGCTTTAAGAGCTGTATCTACAACCTTTTCACCTTTGGCGGGCATGACCTATCAGAAGCCAAACAGATGAAAAAAGGCTACACTTATAAGTTCCGTAACACTAGATATGAACTGCAGGTCAAGGCATTTCTTACAGATTGGAACTATTATCCTACTCAATCAAGACAGAGAAGGAAATAAATAGCAAATTGATTACATGGTTGCTTAACTCGTACGTTTGTGGGTTCTACTGTGCCACATGTGAATTAAGTTCATTAAATGGATCTCACAAATTAGTGCACCAAGTTGATTGTACATCACTCAACTTTCAACCTTAATTGTGCAACTTCAAAATGTTCATAACATGGATCTCACAAATTAGATAACTAAGCTGATTTTGTTTGAACTTGAGTTGGAATTTTTTATTTTTTATGATAATCAATGGTTCCTTATTTTAGGAACACCCCTTAAACTTAAGCAATCATGGGATCAAGATTGACCACCTTTCAACTTTGGTGACTTTATAACTTTGCCTCTATCTCTCTCTAACCGAATTTCATCTCTCATCTAAATAATTTATTTAAATCATTCATTTATCTTATAATTACACCAAAATCACCAAATAGTAACGATACCCAACCCATTCCCACAACCATGGCTGCCACAGTCACATAGAAACACTCCAATGGTCCAAAATCCCCTTCTTAAATCCAATAATTCCATTGGAGTTGCTCTTACAACAAGACATCCATTCTCCACCCTCTCCAAATTGTATTGTTAATTTATATACAATGAATAGCACATCAATTAGTCATATACTTTCACTAGAAGTACTCTATTTGTAGGATTTAGTTCTCCTAAAGTGAGCATGGTCACTTCACTTAGGCAAGTAAGTAAGTAAGTAAGTAGTCTCAACCTTGATGAGAATGTCAACATTTGATATTTCAATACCGAATATCAACTGTTTGAGTCAAATCCATATTTGTAGCCTTACAAGTGCATTTAATAGTAATTCAAAATATGGAAAGACCTAAGCTACTAAACCCTCTTACAATATTTCCACCTAGCATTACTTTAACACTCAACAACATCAACAACCCAGCCTTATCTCACTAAGTGGGGTCGGCTACATGGATCAACTTCTGTCATAATGTTCTATCTAGGACATTGCTTTCATCCAAATCATTAATCTTGAGATTTTTCTTAATGACTTCTCTTATAATTCTTCTAGGTCTTCTCTTTGACTCCTCTCCATCTGATCTACATTCCTTACCATAGAATCTACCGATCTTCTCTCTACATACTTCTTTCCTTACCATAGAATCTATTGATCTTCTCTCTACATACGCTAACTACCTAAGTCTATTTCCTGCCATCTTATCTACCATAGGTGCATTACTTTGACACTCAATACACAAGATTTTTAACTACAATCTTCTCAATTAGCATGAACTAAATGTAGCCATACAAATTAGGAAACATGTTTTTCTATCTCACATACTAAAAATCAACCAAGCAAACAACCATTAAGATAAACTCACCCTAATCAACAATAACAAAAGTAAATCAAAAACAAAAGCAAATTTACCTGAACTCCTCTATCCAACATTTTACTTTCCAAACTATAAATAACCTGATCATGTTCAACAGGATACTGATTCGTAACCCAAACAACCTCAGAACCAACGCCTCTCAAAAGAAACGCCAATTCCATCAAAAGCAAAGGTCCACCAGAAAGAGACAACTCATGCGAAACCATGAGAACAAGCTTAGACTTCATGAAATCCAACGGACTCGGACCCGATGCAACATTTCCACCATTTCCGCCACCGCCGGCGGCGGCGGAGGAGGAGTGAATCTGAGTCTGTTGCGCTTCGAAGATCTTGGTGTTGCATGAATCAGAATTGTTTCTAATGAAAAGCACCATCACTGTTGAAATAGACAAGAAGGCTAGTAACATTAGCGGCCATTTTTTCTTTGCCGTTGCCACTGAATGCTTCGCCATTCTTTTCCAAGTTTACCGAATTTTCTAGTTTCGCATTCTGTTTTTTATTTTTTTAGGGTTTTCGGTCATTCGTTTTGCAGCTAGTTGTTGTGATTGGTAGTGATTTGTGAAGTGGTTCAGGGGTGCTTCAGCTGTCACTCTCGCATACAGATCGAAGATTTTGCTGCTAATTCAGAGATCACGAACTAAAGAACTGTATTCTATTCTTTTTTTGGTTGAAAATGAACTGTGTTTCTTTTTCTTACCAACAATATATGGGCTTTTTTTTTTCTTCGAATCAATGTATAAGGCTTTGAACATACCCTTTTAGATTGGGCCTGAATCTAAACCATCGAGGATTTAACCTTACACCTCCAATTAAACCTGACACCTCCAATGTGTATGAAAAGACTATAGTGACCCTGCAATTTCATTTTTAAAAATTTCGAAATTTACAGGAGCGAAAAATTTAAAATCTGTGGGGCAATAATGAAAATTTTGTTGCAGCTGCCAGAAATTTCAAAAACAGTGAGTTTATTTTTGAAATTTTCAATATTTTTAATATTTTGTATCGAAAATTTCAACATTTCTGATATTTATCATGAAATATGTACTAGAAATTTTAAAATTTTTGGTGTTTAAATTGAATTGTATAGTAGAAATTTTAAAATTTTCGATAAATATTCTATTTTTTATACCGAAAAATTCTGAAATTTTTGGTATATTCAATGGTTTTGGTATCGAAAAATTTGAAATTTTTGGTATGTTGAGAAACTTTGTTTTGTATCAAAAATTTTGAAATTTCTGATAGTTGCCAATATTTTTTTTAATATTGATTTTTCCTTCTTTTACAGTGAAATTCAGAGGCAGATATGACATTATTGTAGAGAGAGTTGTTGATTGAGCAACAAATCAAAGTAGGGTTGCTGAGTCTTCCCAGTTACGGGCAGGACGAGTGGCCCCAACTGGTTCACACCGGAAGCGGTTGGCTGAGCATGGTCAGTTTTGGGCACCTTGTTACACTCGATGTTGATGGTTCGAACAATAAAGTAGCCTACAGATGAGATGGTGCCAGATGTTGCTCTATCTGATCTCGTGGATCATCTGATGGTTAATTAGGTTGTTGATACAATTATTGAGTCGGTGGTTGATCCAGTTGTTGAGGAGTTTGGTTCGGGGTGGTTGATCGGATGGTACAACCAGATGCTGCTGTTGGTGAGTCGGTCTCATCGGTTACTGCTGTCTAGGGGTGGAAATAGGCTGGGTCGAGTTAGGCTTTGACAAGTCTGATCGGTGCTTACAGAGTATGATGAGCATATGGTCGTACGACTATGGAAGGGCGAGTTATATGTCTTTTATGTTCAATATCAATGTTGGATATACAAGCATTTTCCCACCATCTGTAACATGAGGGTGCAACATTACGAGGTGGGCCCCCCACGAGCGAAGAGATGAAAGGCCAGTCAGGTACATCCCGGTGGTGTTGCTGAGTACAAAAGAAGGCTCGATATGTTGACTGTAGATAATGTCATTTGGACATCATACACTGGTCATAGAGTCCACTGTGAGTTCAAGGAATTGCCATTATATTCAGGTTATATGCGGTGGGAGACCATGGTTTGTTAGACATTCGTCAGAGAGGTGTCTTCGACAATATGGTTATGTTTAGAGTATCTCGCGACCAATTCTAAATATACCATCTTTAGGTATTAATTGGCAGTTTCAGAGTAACTTCATCATCTCTAGTCGTGCCATTAGAGATCGAGCAGTCACTGTTCAGTATCCCCCGCAGTGTGAGGATGGTTACTATAGTGGTACCTCACTGTGTCACACCCTCGCATCACCCCACCTACAGTTGATGTTGGGCCTTATGATGATAAGGTACCTGTTGATGACGTGTCACCGCCGCGTCCTTCGGCAAATCACGCTGATGACCAGCAACGCCTTCAGATGATTGCAGTTATTATGATAAATTGATGGGTTTGGTAAACTCAGATGGCGAGGTTTATACTAGATTATCTCGGGCTACACACATAGCCCGTGGGGGACCTATTTAGATACATTTTGTATTATTTATATATTATTCAGACATCTTCATCATAACTCTTTATTTGCTAATATTATTGATTTTCTTTAAAGTGCAATGTGAACATTAACTAACATTTGACAATGGATTACATAACTTAAATAGAAAATACTTACTACAATATGATTAATAAATAAGAAAAACCTAAACACTACCAAACGCTTCTGGATGTTTCAGCATCTTTATAATGTCGTCAACAGATCTTGAAAGCTTAACATCTAACTCGATAAACCCTTTTGTTATTCTACGGGGAAATGATCTCCATATTTTCTTCACATCTTCGCTGATCTTTAATTCAATAAGGTTGTATTTCACCCTCCTGTTAGTATCAATCCAATCTTCATGAAACTCGACATTTCTCACCTTTCTATTTTCGGTATTAGACAATAATCATTGAACTTTGACGTCAGGCTGGCAAGAGATGGGGTGCCATTCGAAAGCCAGAACTCTACAGGAGGAGAAGCTCCGTTTAAGTACACTTCTGCCTTGATCAAAAATTGAGGAAGAGACATTTTTTGAGATGTGTTTATCAAACAACATGTGACCCTCTATTTATACAACTGTGTATTTATTCTGGACCACACAAACTGTCTATGCAATTATAGCCATCCAAAATTATCAACAAAATTCTGATCATCTAAAAAATCAAACAAATAACACTACCGAAAATTTCACGTAGGTTGAAATTTCCGGTATCAACATGTAAATTTTAAATTTATGGAACTGTTTGCAACTTACTAGAAATTCCAAAATTTCTAGTATACCGAAACTTTCATATGGAAATTTGGTGTATTTTTCAACCAAAGACAATTTTGGAAATATGAAAGTTTGAAGGGTGTCAGGTTAAATTCTCTAAACCATTGGCACAAATTAAGGTTTTAAGTTTTAAATTTTAGGGGATTGTTTATTGCACTCTTAGTGGCGTGCATGCATCCTGGTAAAAAAACAATAATGTCCTTAAAATTCGAAAATGCACTTCAAACTTGCTAAAAATGTACAAATCTCAGTTAAGTCTCAGAAACGAGTTAAAAGGAAGCTGAACAAATTTGAAAATTTAGTTTTGTAGTCTTTACGAAAGTATATCCCCAGAGTATTTTCTGTTTTTTCAAACCATACAAATTCAGATATGAGAATAACAACATAAACTAACATCAATCATTGTTATGACATACATAAAATACATAACATTACATAGATAATTTTTAACATAAATCTAATATTACATTTCATCGTCAAGAGATGGTTGAGGATATTTTAACATCTTTAGAATATCATAAGACGGTTTCACAACAGTGGCATCCACCTCCATCAGACCATTTGTTTCTTAGCAGTAAAAAATATACTCCACATAATCATTAAATCTTCATTTGTATTCATCTCAAACTTGTCGGATTGTATCTTCCATTCGTTGTCAATTAAGGGTGAACGATAACAGAGCTTCACACCTTCAATTATTTGAGTATCACAAGAGATTCTCTAGTGTGTATTTCATATCAAAAAGGCAAGTGATATTTGTGAACCTAAATTCAAGTGGAGGTCTCTCGCCGTTGAAATAAACAAATGCAAGATAAGAATATTGAGACATTTTGTGGAGTTTTAGTTAACAAGTTGAGAAACACCCTTTTTTTATAGGTATTTTAGCTCAACAATAACCTCACAAACTCAATATTGTCTAAAAGGATATTCTTTTACTTAATTCGGAAGCTAGATTTCGGATTTACCCATGTTAGTAGCTGATTTGCACAAATTATTTTTAGAAGAATAATTTTATACCATGTTAGTACCGGATTTACTCATGGGCAAGTAATTTGTTAACATTTTTTTATTATTTTTTTAACCTTTTTCATCTTTTATTTCCAAATCAAATTTCGAAAATAAAAATACTCATCCAATCAATCTAAGTTTTGAATCTGGTTTGTTGAACAAGTACTTGATAATTATATGTTTAGTATAAACCACGAGCTTGGATCCAATGAGATAAGATCTAAGTTTTAAATGCAAACACTATCACAGATATAATTTAAGACTTTCCTTGCATAGTGATAGAATGCGAACATCCATTATTTCTTTCTCTAAAAACAACACCAACTATTTAATCACTCGCATTGCACATTACTCCAAAGTTAAAATTCTAATTGCGAGCATTGATTATGGATGCATAAACTATTTTTTTTTTAAAGTTTTTAAAAAGATTCAAATTTATCTTTATTGAGCAAGTTAGCAATCTCTAAAAAGTCTTTGATTAGTCTTTAATAGAATTCATCATGGTTTAGAAAATTCTTAATTCCTTTTAACATTTATGGATGAAGTTAACTTTTCAATGATCTTCACTTTTATCTTGTCAACTTTTATTCCATTAATTTGATTTAGCACAAATAAGATTAAATCATATGAAATGACTATCTCTTCTATGACAAGATAAAACATGACAGTTATTGAATGTAAGTAACTGATTATGATAGCAAATTATAAGCGATTCTGTTATCCATTGCCTTTTGTTTCATATCAACAGTACATGGTATCAAGCTGATGACATGACTACAAGGAAGTGTCAAAACAATGATGTCTGGTTACTAATCTAAACAACATCATTAGTCATGAATTTCAAAAACTATAAATTCACCTCAAAAACATCATGTTGCATAATACTAATATTTCCAACAAAATTCTTTTTATCTTCAAAAGCTATACTAATCCTCCACACAGTCTGTTGCATCTTCTCTTGACATGTAATTGTTAGCTGCTGGATTGGAGTCTTCGGATGAGTCTCCAAACTCTTCTTTGTACATTTCTTCTATCATTGGTTTCCATAACCTTACCCTTGCATTTATGAACCAATTTGACACCTAAACAAATATATACCAAATTAAAACGACATCATTTTGAAATAGAAAGAGTACAAGAAAAAATGGTAGTTTACAGCTAGGAAATTACTTGGTTTTTTGTTAAACCGGTTTGGGAAGCCAACATTAATTTCTCAGAATCATTAGGATACCTGCAAAAAAAAAAAACAGACATCAAATTAGTAACATTGTCAGTAACAAGACAAAAAATGAAATTTACAGAAGATCATAAAAACAATGTATAAGCTTACGGATGAAGAAAGTGCTCAAATAACCAAGCACGAAGAATTGCAACAGAGGTTTCAGGTAAGCCTCTAATGGGTCTCCAAATTTGTCTTTGGTTTTGAATGATTCCAAGTTGTTGAAGAGACACTCTATTCTGTCTGTTGTTGTTGTTGTTATTATTATTACTATCTCTCTCAAATAAGCTAAGTTGAGATAATCCATTGTTGATTTTTGGTACATCTTGAAAAAGTTTTCTTTTCTCAACATTTATTTGTGACATTATGGCATCTCTTAAGCTGCAAAAATGTCTAGACATTGCTTGAAGTGCTAAAGCAGTGTAACATTTGGCAGCCCCTAAACCTGCTATCATTTCAAAAGATGACACCACTTCTTCCATTTGATGATAGTATTTCTCATATCTACTCTCAACCTGAAAATACAGGCACCAGAACACCACACAACATTGATACGCCGACATCAGTAAAAAATTTAAAAAACATTAAATGTAGGTCTCGTTTCGGACACAGATACTGACATATCCTTTTTTAGAAGTGTCGGTACTACAGAGTTATGAAAACTTGATTAAGTTGTTAGAAGAGAAGACTAACCTCATCCAACAAAGAAATGAGTTTTGCAATTTTGACTTGATGTTCATGTTTATCGGCCAACAAATGTCCATGAATCCTCAACTCAGCTTTAAGCTCAGAGGAAAGTGTTCTAGCACCAGTTCTACTTGCATGAAACAATTTCTCAGCATACTTTTGATTCATTCTATCAATCACATTTCCACCAACATCAACAAGATCTTCAAGGAGTGACTGAGCCGGTTTAAGATATCTAGAGTTTCCAATAACAGAACCAAAGCTCTCGTTTCCATAAGAAGTAGAAGTAGAACGGTTCAAAGATGAACCAAAATTTCCACCACTTCCAGTGTAAAAATAATCACTTGTTAGATTATTCTCCACCACAGGCGGATGATTATTACAAGACTCACGTGACTGCTCTTGACCAGACATGAAGTAACTTGGGTTAATCATAAGACCTTGATTTAAGGAACGGTTTCTGAAATCATGAGAAGGAACAACAAGCATGTGAGAGCCTAAAGAAAGTGATAAACCTTGTTGAGTTTGGTGATTGTTGTCGTTTGCAGCACCAAGTAGATCCATCAAATGTCTTGTATGACTCATTTCAGAGCCTTGTGAGAGTTCAATATTGTGATGAAACGTTTCAGAATAGGATACTACATTGTTGTTCCTTAAAGAAGAAGATGAAACATAGGCACCAGCAGCAGCACCACCTAGTAAATCTTGGTTCTCAAATTGATTTTGATGGGTCATTGAGTTTGACATGGTTATAATTAATGGCAGAGAAAGTGATTAAATAAGAAAAGAAATTCTTGAGGCATGTGAAATTGTGAAAAATGAAAATCTCTAGAACAGTGAAAGGAGAGAGATTTTTATGGAGAGGGAATCGAATCAGCACTGTTGTTTTGAATGCAGTGAGAAACTATTTGAGCAAAAAAGTGTATATATGGTGAAGACATGACATAAACAACATACAAGTGGTCGTACAAAGATAGCAGTAGATTCATTGGTGAGGATAATCAGTGGTCACAATCAAATCCCAAGTTTCATGTTTGAATGAGTAAGAAAAAATGTAAAACAAACTTGGAGGAGTACTATACTATACACATGACAAAATCATAGACTAGTATTATTATAGTATTTTTATTTATTAGTATTAGTAGCACTTTGGAGAAAGTGTCAACACAAAACCTAGGTGTGTTAGGATTCTTGTTAAGATTGTGTATATATGAAAATTGAGTTTCAAATGTTTTGTTTACATGAAAACAGGACAAAGCTAAGTTGCAGAACTGTTTTTAGCTATTTAACTCAAACTACTTTATATTCGTATAGTTAAGATGCAAACAAAATCATTCTTGCTTAACAAGTTTAGACTTGACACCATGTAAGTGAATAATATTTAAAATTAACTTAGAACAACTTTAGTGCAGAGCTGTTAAATCAAAATTTTGTATAGCTTACGTTAGTAATAAAAAATTTGCATTATAGTAGAGCTGACATGGCATTTAAGTGAACTAAAATTTAGTTTTTATTATCTATATATAGTTAACTTTAACTATGTGAAATATATTATAATATTATTTATTTAATTAATAAAATATTCCAACAACATTAAAATAATGACATGATATTTGAAAATAGTGGGGTCAAGTTTTGGTTTTTTATAGACAACCATCATTAAAGTAAAAACTACTCAAATCAACTATAAATTTTTTAAATCCTACAAAACACTCTGGGTCCACAAAAAATATCTTAGTTTACCCATTTAGTTTATTCTCATTAAAGATACTCTTAATTAAGAGTGTAAGAAGATTGACCGCGGAAAAACTCACGCGTGAAAAAAAATTCGGCAAGATTAATGTAAATTTGACATTCGATGTTAGAATAACTATTATTATACATTTTATCATAATAATATAGCAATCTAAAATCTTAAGTTGTTAGATAAAATTTTATTGAAAAGTTCTAATAAAATTAACTTTTAAAAGAAAATTATATATTTATATAAAAAGTAAGCAAAAGTTGCATTAATATCCTATTGAATATATATCTAGAAATAAAAAGGGTACAAATTGAAGGCACTGTAGAAGTGGACCCAAGCAAGGAAACCACACTCTCTTTAATTTATAGCCCTTGCAGTTTCAAGTTTCAACAATGATGAAAAAAAATAACACCAATACTTAATTTTTCTCCCTCTTAGCAGATCTACCCTCAGAGGTGCTGAGCTATGAGTCTATCTATCTACGAGACAGTTGTGGCATTTTTGTTAAAGAAGGAAAGTTAATTGGCTACGTTTGAAAACATAAGAAAATGACAGAAAAATAAAATGGTCCCCAAACTGAAAGCATCAAGCATCATTTTTTTATAGCATTGGGAGACTCAAAACTCAAAAAGCAACTCATCAAACAGAAGGGGAGCCCTCCCTCGTTTCATAGGTTAAACTGTTCATTCTGCATAAACACAAAGATAAAAGTGGCTATCTTTTACACACTCCCACTTCTAGGATTGTCACCTTCAATACATCTTCCAGACATTATCATATATATATAAAAAAAAAATTTATATTATTATAAATAAATTTCGTTTTTTATATATTTACTGTTAACATATATTTTTTTCTGAAATGACCTCGTTCTCACTTTTTAATATAATAATTATTATAATTTTATCCTTTAATTATTATTTTTTACGATACTTTCAATATTTTAATAAGGTTAGTTTATTATTGCGTAATAACCGGAAGGTGTATTAGTTATTTTTTTCATCTTTAAATTTATGCTTAGGAATGTTAAAAAATAAGATGGTGTATAGTTGTGTTCAAAATTTGAGATGGGCTATGTGTTTAGTGTAATGTGGTGTGGTGGGTGATGATAGTGATTTTTGGGATTGTTATGGGTCTCTTTCGATGCTATTGCAATGATTGCGATCTTTGTTCCTTTCAGGATTCTTCTCTACTTGTCACTATCTTGATCTGTCACACATACCTTGATCAAATCCACTCATTTCTAACTACAATGTTCACTCAACATTGCTTAAAAGTTAAAATACTAATACTTCTTTCAATTTTCAATTTCATCCCGTTTTAACTTTTTTTTTATATTTTTTTTAAAGATATTGCATTATTGAATATTGACTAATTCGATGATTGAATATTGATAAAAAAAAAATTAAAAGACAACTAATTAAAAAAATAACTTTTGAGGTATAAAGACACACAATTCAACTTTAATTTTTTTTTTTATGTTTGACAAACTCGCAATTAAAATTGAGTCAATTTTAAACGGAACAAAAATATGATCAATTTTTTCTTTAATTTATTTGTACTCTTGCTTGAAACATTGCACAAAAGTACAAATAACATAAAAAAAATATAAATTAAATATAGATTCAAATTACAATTTCTTCCCCTTTAATAAGATAAAAAAATTGATAATAAGTCTAAATGAAAAATAATCTCCAAGAATGATAATCTAGAGAAACAAATGAGTTATAAGAAGAGTATACAACACCAGATGATATATTTTAAATATACGAAGATAAACATACTAAGTGCCATAATATGTGCAAATAGACATGTAACTGCATAACAACATAACTATGTGATCAAAACATATGTGAATGAAAGATTAAATAATGTATGAACAAACAAAATAATTTCAAATGCACATAAATAATAAGATGCATTTAAAAACATTTTAAATGAATAAAAGAATATTCATGGAACAACTTAGAAATGAGTTAATGAAATGAAGAAGATAAGAAATAAATAAATAAACATATAAAACAAAATACAATGCTGATATTACAAGAGATAAAAAAAGTTGTAGAATTATACAAATAAGGTTGGTTAAAGTATAATTTGCTACAAGGAAATGTTAGTTTACAACATAATACAAGTAACAAATGAAAAGATGTTGTGAAACGGTGTCGTCGAGAACAAATCAAAATATGAGAAAAAATTTGAGTTTCTTGAACAAACACAAGAAATCTTATTAGGTTTCACAAAAAGGGAGAGTGTCATACCCCAAATTTGTCCCACCCTTTTAAAATCTTCATTATCAAGTCATGATCCTCTAAATTAGGTCATTATGATTGGGTGGACGCGTATTGGTGATTATAAGCTCTTGCCAAAATGTGTGATTTCAAGTAGAGGTAAAGGAAGGATATGCTCTCGTTCTCATGATTAAACTTCAAGACAAAGATCAATTGCCCAAGCTATATGACAGGGACAAGAGATCAGAGTTACCAGGGATGATGGCATAACTTCCAGTCAAGTGTGGTTATTTACTCATGATCAAGATCAGATGGAAGTTTGACCTCATCTTGGTCAAACCATCAAGAGTTTTCTTCAAGTGCAAGTTATATGTGTCAGTGGTTTATTTCTCATATAATGTCTATCCAAGGTCAAGTTGTCTTGTGCTGAAACTCATCAGATTATCAAGCAGTGATTCATGTGAGAAATCTGGTTCAAAATCGGGGTCAAATAGACCATCAGTTCAAATTGTGTCCCTCTGTGGGTTTATTTTCCCATAAATTGTTTCAGACAAAGTCAAGGTGATTCACAACTTCTGTCATTTATTATTGGAGATTCGTTTGAACAAGTTAAGCTTTGAGGATATTCATCCAGGATGTGGGCTATCTGGTCAAGTGTGATTCAAGAAAAGTTTGACCTAATCTTGATCAAACAAGTCAAGATGGATTAATGAAATCAGTAAGTAATCAAAATCAGGGTTTGTGCATGTCCAAATCCATCTGATGAAATCAAGGGACTGAGTGTTCAAAAAGTTAAGGCACTTTGGCTTATTCTTAAGTCACCTGCGAGTCCTGTTTTTAAGGTTCAAATTATGGAGTCATTGGTTCAAGTCAAAAAAAATATATACTTCAAGTCAGGTTCAATGGCAAAGTCAATGGTCTCGATTTAAATTTGAAGAGTGTAAGTCAAGAGTATGATTTAACTATGGGAGATGTCAATATTGATTTGGACTCGTTTATAATTTTCCTCCACTTTCCAGTATTCCCATCCATTTTTACCCTTATTTTAATTCATATTCAAAATAAAGCTCATGTCAATGTTGCAAATTTATGAAAACTTCTTGATTTATTTCAAGTTCAAATTCATTATAATCATAATTTAAGAAAATGTGCATAAACCTTTTGTTTTGTTTTTGAAACCCATTGGTCCAAGCCCATATGAACAAAATAATATAATAATAATTTGAAAAAAAAACCTACTTGGGGGAGGGGGGCCTAGTAATGAAGAAAAATGGAATAGGGACGGCGCATAGGGATCTGGGGGAAGGAAATTGAAACTTTATCAGGAATTCCTTCGTGAAGGCATAAACTACAGCGTGAACCAAAAATTGAACATCACTGCATTAGCTCCTTCTCGCTAACCCCACCTCATTCTTCTTTAAAATCACCACCTTCATCACCATTTTAGTTGGTTTCTACAAATACAACAAATTACATTTGGTGCCATCTTCACAGCAAATCATCATAATACCAAGAGAAAACCATCGAAAACTTCAAGTTTTTATCCTCCACTTAAACACGATCCACACTACATAAACCTCTCAATACTTGGCTGATTTTCCACGCCTTCCGTGTTCAAGATACAACAACGTAAACACCTCATTTTTTGTTTTAAGCAACAACGTTTTGCAGCTCACACAGCTCAAGTAAACCGCTCTGGATCAAGAGGCGTGTCCCGTTGTTCGCTGTGAAAATTGGTGAACAACCGCTGGTCTTACAAATCGAAAAAAGAT